TTTTTTTTTTTTTTTTTTTTGGACACCCTCCCACTCCATATTTTCATCATAGAAGTAGGCGGAGTGGGAGGGAGGGGGGCCCCCCCCCACCCCCCAGGAAAAAAAAAAAGAAGCGGCTGCGCCTGGCGCGTGGGTGCGCACTGCCCCCTCTGGCCGGTGCGTTCCGCCGCTGCCTTTCAGGAAAGGATTCCGCGCAGATGGCGACCGGGAGCCACGGGGAACACAGCGTAGTATCCGGCTTTCCTCCCGTCACCGTTTCCGAGCCGCACTGTTTGCACGCGCTCAGCCTCGCTGGTGGCGGCTGCAGGCCCCTCGCCCGCCCGCCCGCCCGCCCGAGAGCAGGCTGTTGGGGCTCCTGCAGGGGGTGCGCCTGCCGCTGTGGAGATGGGGATGGAGACAGCGGTCTGGAGAGATTCGGGAGGTTTTTTAAAAAGTGGATTCTGAGAAGGGATCCTGCGGGCACGGAGAAGCGAGAGTAACGTGTGTGTGCATCGGAGTAAGTAGGTGTGCATTCGGTTAAAGGGATGTGCGTTCCGATAAGATGCATGTGTAGAGATCGGGGGAGACCGTGATACAAAGTTGCCTCTGAAACCAGGACAGAATAAGCCGTATTTCCGGGCCTCGGAGGAGAACAGACCACCGGGAAGGGAAGGCGTCCCTTGTCCCTACTCCTGATTTTTTTAAAACCAAGTGCATGTGTTACCTATGCAAAAATTGGGTCCTTTAAGTTTAAAAATTAAAAGGATTGGCGTTCCGCCAGTGCTGCCATCCGTTCTATTAAAATTGGGAGCGCTGGAACGCGCTCCGTAGCCTTTCCCATCCGTCACTCCTCGGTTACCTAAGCCGTGGCTTGGAAAGGAAGATTTTGTTTTGCTCTTTCCAAAATACAACGTGCAGAAGGCGAGGAAGTATCTTGGCAGCCTCCTGCGAGGGGATGGCTTCAGCGGCAGAGGTGCTCACGGAAACAGTTCGTGGACGTTTGCATAATTATAGGCTTCACCGACCCAGAGCCTCGCTGGGAACGCTGTGGTCAGTTTCTGCCACAACCAATCGGCCCTTCTGAGTGGGCTTCTGGGTGGAAGGTCGTTTCTTCAAGAGGCCATGGCTTCTTTCTGTTCTGCTTTCAGCAGCGAGAACAAAAAGAACAGCTCTGGGCTGTTTCACCCTTCGCCGGATTGTTACAACTCAGTGGTTCGCTTGAGTTGTCTGAGGTCACTCCAGGCTTATAGCGTTGGACCGTTGGTCAGAGTGAAGCATCGTAGTCGCGTGAGCTATTATATCGGGGTCATAACTCACCGTTTCACAGTCCTTATTCATTCTGCACGCGGCCGCAGAATTCCATCGCCTTCGTTACGGCGAAGTCGGTAAGCTGTGGCTAAATTTGCGATGTGATGAAACGTAAATATCCCTTGGCACTATGTCGGAAAAAGTCTTATGTGAGACTGTGACAAATACCAGCTCCTGTCCTTTATTCTTCAGCCTCATATCTGAGAAAGCAAACAAGGCAGAAATAAGTTCAGTACTGAAAAGCTGTGTCTTTCTCTTTAATTTATTGGGGTGACACTGTTTAACACAATTATATCGGTTTCAGATGTACAGTCTGTAATAACGTCATCCATGTATTGTGTTGTATGTTCCCCGCCCCAAGTCAAGTCTCCTTCCATCGCTCTTTATCCCCTTTTACTTTCTGCCCCCCCTCCACTTCCCCTCTGCTGATCAGCATACCCGTCTGTCTGTGAGTTTGTTGGTTTGGGGGAGGGGGGGTCTTGCTTTGCTTAATCCCTTCACCGTTTTCACCCAGCCCCACATCCTACTCTGCTCTGACAGCTGCCAGTCTGTTCTCTGTCCCCATGAGTCTGTTTCTATTTTGTTTGTTAACTCATTTTGTTCGTTGGATTTCACGTGAGTGAGATCATATGGTGCTGGTCTTCCTCTGACTGGCTTATTTCACTCAGCATAAGGCCCTCCAGGTCCCTCCACGCTGTCGCAAAGGGGAATAAGATTTCCTTCTTCTTTATGGCCGAGTAGTATTCCTCCTGTAACCGGACCACAGCTATTTTATCCACTCATCTACGGATGGGCACTGGGGCTGCCTCCAAATCTTGGCTGTTGTAGATAACGCTGCAGTGAACACGGGGGGCATATATTCTTTCACATCAGTGTCTCGGTATCTTCGGTTATATTCCCAGCAGTGGGATCGCTGGGTCATGAGGCAGCTCCATTTTTAATTTGCTGAGGGAACTCCATACTGCTTTCCACCATGGCTGCACCAGTCTGCATCCCGCCAGCAGGGCACGAGGGCTCCCTCTTCCCCACATCCTCGCCAGCACTTGTTTGTTCATTTACTGATGGTCGCCCCTCCGACGGGAGAGGTGGTACGTCATCGTGGTTTTAATTTTCCTCTCTCTGACGATTCGTGGCGTTGAGTGTCTTTTCATGTCTCTTGGCCACCTGTAGGTCCTCTTTGGAGAACTGTCTATTCAGGCCCTTTGCCCGTCTGTAATTGGGTTGTTTGGTTCTGTGGAGTTTGGTGTTGAGTTGTGTAAGTTCTGTATACATTTTGGATATTAAACCTTTATCAGATGTGTCATTGGCGAATATGCCCTCCCATCAGGGCCTTGTCTTTTCGTTGTGTTGATGGTTTCCTTTGCTGTGCAAAAGCTTTTTAGTTTGATGTAGTCCCGTGTGTTTATTCTTCCTTTTGTTTCCCTGGCCTGAGGAGATTTATCAGAAAAATATATATATATATATTGCTACGAGAAATTTTACTGCCTATATTTTCTTCTAGGATTTTTCTGGTTTCAAGTCTAATACTGAAGTCTAATCTATTTTGAGTTTATTCTCGTGTGCAATTATCACAACAGCATCGATTGAATAGACCATCGTTACCCCATTGTGTGTTCTTGCCGCCTTTGTCGAATATTAATTCGAGCATGAAGGCATGGCTTTATTTCTGGGCCCTCTATTCTGTCCCCTTGATCTACTGATTTTATGCCAGTGCCGGACTGTTTGATACCAGGTGGTGTGATGCCTCCAACTGCGTTCTTTTATCTCAGGATTGCTGTGGCTGTCCGGGGTCTCCTGTGGCTCCATGCGCGCTTCTGGAATATTTGTTCTAGTTCTGTGAAATGCGCCGTTGGGGTCTTGATAGGAATTGCGGTGGATCTGTAGGTCGCTGTGGGCCGTGTGGACATTGAATGATGTCGAGTCTTCCTACCCGTGAGCACAGTACATGCTCCCACCCAGTTGTATCTTCTTCAGTTTCTTTTTGTTTTCTTTTTTTTTAAAAAAAATATATTTTATTGATTTTTCACAGAGAGGAAGGGAGAGGGATAGAGAGTTAGAAACATCGATGAGAGAGAAGCATCGATCAGCTGCCTCCTGCACACCCCCTACTGGGGATGTGCCCGCAACCAAGGTACATGCCCTTGGCCGGAATCGAACCTGGAACCTTTCAGTCCGCAGGCCGACGCTCTATCCACTGAGCCACACCAGCCAGGGCTTCCGTTTCTTTTTGTTTTTGTTCGGTTGGTGGGTTTGGCGTGTTTGTGTGTGTGTGTGTGTGTGTGTGTGTGTGTTGTTGTTGTTGTTTGTGCTTTTTATGCGCCTGTAAATGGGGTTGTTTTCTTAGTCTCCCTTTCTAATAGTTCCGTTTTGATCTATGAAAACGCAGCTGAGCCGGCCGGCGTGGCTCAGTGGCTGAGTGTTGACCTGGTCAAGGTATATGCCCCAGTTACAGGTCCATCCCAATAGGGGGCGTGCAGGAGGCAGCGATCAGTGATTCTCCTCATTGATGTTTCTCTCCCTCTCCCTCCCTCTCTCTGAAAATCAATTAAAACATGTTTTTTAAAAGTTAATCAATAAAAGTCTCTCAGACATAAAGTAACTTACTGTTTTTGATTGAGCCTCAGAAACGTTCAACACGGGGAGAAAGGAAGAGCTTCATTTTCTCCTACGCGAGCCTTTGTCGGCTTCATGTGACACAGCCGTACGGCGCCTGGCACTGATTTCTGGGAGACTGCTGCCCCCTTCCTCCCGTCTTTGTTAGGAATGTTCCCTCACGTCCGATCTTCTCGTTGAATTTTTGCTGGCGTGCTCGTTACAGAGCTAGCCATAAAGCCTGGGAGCTCCTGGAGGCGGACTTCAGTGCCTACGGGAATAACTGGGGTCAGCAAAACTTGTAAAAAGAAAAAACAAGTATGTGATCTTTGAACGCATCATCAATTAAAACACGCTTTCCATGCCGTGTGTTCGCAGGGCTCCGATACCCGAGCACAGGGCCAGTTATCTTGTGCTTGGGTTGTCTTCAGTGTCGAGTCGTTCATCGGAACATAACATCTCACCCTTAAAAGCACAGCTCCGGGTCTTCACTGACACTCCCACAGTAACTACCGCGTTTGCACAAAGTCCTGGGCCGATGCCCGTGTTGAAACATGTGCGGTGCTTTCACCACATGTATTTATGCAAGAAAATCAAACGGTAAAAATGAATGGCTACGCAACAAATTGAAAGAAAAAAATGAAAAGGAATGTGAAGAGAGAACTTATCTTTAAACTTCTTGTGGGATCAAGATATTGACAGCTGTGTCCATCAGCAGCAGATTCCCGCTGGCCACTGTGGCTCAGTGGTTGAACGTAGACACCTGATGAACCAGGAGGTGGCGGTTCGATTCCTGGTCAGGACACATGCCCCGGTTTTGGGCTTTATCCCCAGTGTGGGGCGTGCAGGAGGCAGCTGATCAAAGATTCTCTCTCATCGTTGATGTTTCTACCTCTCTCTCCCTCTCCCTTCCCCTCTGAAATCAATAAAAATATATTTAAGAAAATATTTGTATTAAAAAACAAAGAAATTTTTATTGGTTTCAGAGAGGAAGGGAGAGGGAGAGAGATAGAAACATCCATGATGAGAGAGAATCATTGATCGGCTGCCTCCTGCACGCCCCTCACTGGGGATGGAGCTGCAACCCGGGCCTGTGCCCTGACCGGGAATCCAACCGCCACCTCCGGGTTCATAAGTCGACGCTCAAGCACAGAGCCACGCCAGCTGGGCTTAATAAAAAAAATTTTTTTAATTTTTAAATCTTGAGAGCAAATGTAAGAAACGGTGGTTTTCGTTCCTCTTTCATCGTCTGATCTCCCTCATAAACTGAGCGAAACGTGACATAGGTGCGACGTTCTAACGCGTCTCCTCTGTCCTCCCTGCAGTGCTGCTGATCACGGTGCTGGTGGTGGAGGGGATCGCCGTGGCCCAGAAGCCCCCAGGTAAGGTGCTCCGGGGACCGCTCCCCCGTGCGGATGGTGGGGGCTCACCTGGAAGGACCGCAGCCCGTGGGGACCCCTTCTGTCCTCCCTGGGGGGGGGGGGGGTGCCCGTGACCTCGGGCTTCCTGTCTAGCCCTCAGCCTGGGTTTCACGGGCTGAGCCGCAGGCAGCCAGAGTCCATTGTCAGCGGCAAGCGTTGCCCTGAGACACCGGACACACGGGCATCCCCAGCGGCCTGGCTCGCTCCGCATCCGGCCGACAGTTACATGGGGCCCGCGCTTTCTCGCCAAGCGGAAGTCAGCGTCCATTTCTCCCGTTAGACTCATTTCCGGCGTGTCTCCCTCGGAGCCCCTGGGGCCCGGGCCCGTGGGTGGTGCTGGTGGGCCGTGCTGCCTGGAGGGCGAGGGTGTGGATGCCGGTGGGCAGTGGGGAGGAGAGGAGGCGCCCTCTTGCTGTGACGGCTGCTCGGACCTCTGTTCCCGCCAGACGGACAGAACGTCGGGGTCAGGCACGTGGCTGGCACCCAGTGCGGCATCTGGGTTCGAACCAGCAATGGAGGCCACTTCGCTTCACCGAGTTACCCGGACCCCTACCCGCCCAACAAGGAGTGCATCTACGTTTTGGAAGGTATTTGCCCGATTTCTATCTTTTTATTCAGGGCCTTTTTACTTTTCTTCTTTTTTTTTTTTTTTAATCCTCACCCGAGGATATTTTTCCATTGATTTTTAGGGAGAGTGGATGAAAGAGGGAGAGACAGAGAGAAACATCGATGTGAGAGAGACACATCGATTGGTTGCCTCCTGCACGCACCCTGACCAGGGCCCCGGCTGGGGAGGAGCCTGCAACCGAGGTACATGCCCTTGAGCAGAATCGAGCCGGGACCCTTCAGTCCACAGGCCGACGCTCTATCCACTGAGAAACACCGGCCAGAGCCTTTTTACTTTTCTGGTAAAACTAAATCCATCGGCTAAAATGCCATGTTTTAAAAAATTTGAGCCCTAACCAGTTTGGCTCAGTGGATAGAGCATCAGCCTGCAGACTAAAGGGTCCCAGGTTCGATTCCGGTCAAGGGCATGTACCTTGGTTGCAGGCACATCCCCCAGGAGGCAGCTGATCGATGTTTCGCTCTCATCGATGTTTCTAACTCTCTACCCCTCTCCCTTCCTCTCTGTAAAAAATCAATAAAATATATTTAAAAAAATTTTTGAACAAAATTCAACACGTATCTGAACTGAACTCTAGTAATGCATACATATTCCTGAACGCGGAACACATTACCAAGGCAACAGTTGCAATGACAGGAAGTTGGAATCTCCTAAGACAGCACCGTGCAGTCAGCTGCCCTGTGTGGCTGAGAAATGCCTCCCTTATCAGGCTTCATGCCTGTTCATGTCCTCGGATCCACTGGCCGTTCATCGCCTGAGTTTCTGTTCATGGTGCATTGTAGTCATGAACCAAACGTTAGCTTCTCGACTCTCCCTTTACTTCGACTCTGGTTTTAGTCAGCTGCCCACCTCTCACTCATGTCCTCGGCAGCGGAGGCCCGACGGGGGGAGGGTCCTGCAGCCCCCGAGCAGCATCGCTACCGGGTGAAATGAACACTGTGAATTTTATGTTAACGTTCCCCTTACGCCCCTCGGCGGGAGGGGTGTGCGGCCGCGGCGGCCTGTCCCACTGGAGTGAGGACAGTCCTGCTCTGGCTCGCACGTGGCCCTGACTGGCTCGCTCTCCCCTCCCAGCGGCGCCCCGGCAAAGGATCGAGCTGACCTTCGACGAGCACTTTTACATCGAGCCCTCGTTCGAATGTCGCTTTGACCACCTGGAGGTTCGCGACGGGCCCTTCGGCTTCTCTCCGCTCATCGAGCGGTTCTGCGGCGTGAAGAGCCCTCCGCTGATCAGATCCACCGGGCGCTTCATGTGGGTCAAGTTCAGTTCCGACGAAGAACTGGAAGGAATGGGATTCCGAGCAAAGTACTCGTTTATTCCAGGTAACGAGCCGGTCTTCCCCCCGGAGGCCTGCCCGCCGTGGGCCTCCGTCGGCTAGAACTGCGCCCACTCAGTCAGGTTAACACTAGGACCGCAGAGCCCTGTCCGCTGGGGACACGGGGATACGGGTCATCCGCCGTCTGCCCGGAGCCACGAACTGACGCGGTGACCGGGCAACGCGGTGCCGCAAGTGTGCCGTCTCTTGTTCCATTTAGGGTTTCGTGCCAGAAATTTGTTACTTGAAAAATATGAAGCCCGACCCGTGTGGCTCAGTGATTGAGTATCACAAAGCCGCAGTTTGATTTCCGGTCAGGGCACAGGCCTGGGTTTCGGGCTCCATCCCTAGTGGGGGGCGTGCAGGAGGCAGCCGATCCATGATTCTCTCTCATCATGGATGTCTCTCTCTCCCCCTCTCCCTTCCTCTCTGACATCAATAAAAATATATATGTTTTTTAAGTCTATGCATTATCACTTAAAAACATTGATGCTCTCAGTGAACATGCGCATAAGTAACTGTGGTCTCTAGTCAAACCAGGAAGCTTTCTCTCAAACTGTTACTAAATGTAGCAGCTGTTACTAAGTATAGCGTCTGTTACTAAATGTAGCAGCTGTTACTAAGTATAGCGTCTGTTACTAAATGTAGCAGCTGTTACTAAGTATAGCGTCTGTTACTAAATGTAGCAGCTGTTACTAAATATAGCATCCGTTACTAAATATAGTATCCGTTACTAAACGTAGCATCTGTTACTAAATGTACCATCTGTTACTGTAGCGTCTGTTACTAAATATAGCATCTGTTACTAAATGGAGCAGCTGTTACTAAGTATAGTGTCTGTTACTACACGTAGCATCTGTTACTAAATGTACCATCTGTTACTGTAGCGTCTGTTACTAAATATAGCATCTGTTACTAAATGGAGCAGCTGTTACTAAATGGAGCATGTTACTAAATGTAGCAGCTGTTACTAAATATAGCATCTGTTACTACATGTAGCATCTGTTACTAAATGTAGCATCCGTTACTAAATATAGTATCCGTTACTAAACGTAGCATCTGTTACTAAATGTACCATCTGTTACTGTAGCGTCTGTTACTAAATATAGCATCTGTTACTAAATGTAGCAGCTGTTACTAAATATAGCGTCTGTTACTACACGTAGCATCCGTTACTAAATATAGTATCCGGTACTAAACATAGTGTCTGTTACTAAATGTACCATCTGTTACTGTAGCATCTGTTACTAAATGTAGCAGCTGTTACTGTAGCATCTGTTACTAAATGGAGCAGCTGTTACTAAATGTAGCATCTATTACTGTAGCGTCTGTTACTAAATATAGCAGCTGTTACTGTAGCAGCTGTTACTAAATGGAGCAGCTGTTACTAAATGTAGCATCTATTACTGTAGCGTCTGTTACTAAATGTAGCGTCCGCCATAGTAAGTGACTCCACACTGTCTCAAAATGCCAATGACGTTCTCCTCTTTTCTGTTGCAGATCCAGACTTTACTTACCTCGGAGGTATTTTAAGCCCCATCCCAGGTTTAGTATCTGCCTCTTTTTCCTCCTGGCGCCTCTGACCCGTCGGCGTGCCCGTTGACCGTGCTCCTCTCTCCCTTCCAGACTGCCAGTTCGAGCTCTCGGGGGCGGACGGCGTCGTGCGGTCCAGCCAGGTGGAGCAGGAGGAGAAGACGAAGCCCGGCCAGGCGGTGGACTGCATCTGGACCATCCGGGCCACCCCGAGGGCCAAGGTACGGCCGCATGCGAGGCAGCGGGGAGGCCGTCAGGGCGACTCCTGTGAGGCGCAGTTTGGGTTTGTGCAAGCACTTACTGGTTATATAAAGCGATGTTACAACTTTATTTTGGTTCCCTTATGACAGTGGTTCTCAACCTTCTGGCCCTTTAAATACAGTTCCTCATGTTGTGACCCAACCATAAAATTATTTTCGTTGCTACTTCATCACTGTAATGTTGCTACTGTGATGAATCGTCATGTAAATATCTGATCTGCAGGATGGTCTTAGGCGACCCCTGTGAAAGGGTCGTTCGACCGCCAAAGGGGTCGCGACCCACAGGTTGAGAACCGCTGCCTTATGAGGTACCAGCTAAGACCTCAGCATTGCTGACGTTAGATAAGCGACAGTGTCAGTTTCAGGAGTAGCACGCATATGCAGTAAGACTCTTATTTTATGATTCTTAAAATCTGTGGATTCTTAATTCCAGAGTGCAGGTATTGATCAGGATGGTCACAGATTCATTTAAAAAGTTTGATGACCGTGGCGGGGGGGCTCAGGTGGTTGGAGCGTCACCCCGTACACCGAAAGGTTGGGGGATCGATTCTCATTCAGGGCACACACCTAAGTTGCTAGTTTGATCCCCAGTTGGGGCACGTATGGGAGGCAACCGATCGATGTTTCTCTCTCACATCGATGTGTGTTTTTCTCTCTCCCCCTCCCTTCCTCTCTCTCTCTAAAATCAATTAAAACAGCCTCAGGTGAGGATTTTAAAAAAAAACATGTTAAATTTTGTGAGGAAAAGTGGATCACAAGGAGTTAGAGCAGGGGTGGGCAAACTTTTTGACTCGAGGGCCACAGTGGGTTCTTAAACTGGACCGGAGGGCCGGAACAAAAGCATGGATGGAGTGTTTGTGTGAACTCATATAAATTCAAAGTAAACATCATTACATAAAAGGGTACGGTCTTTTTTTTTTTTTTAGTTTTATTCATTTCAAACGGGCCGGATCCGGCCCGCGGGCCGTAGTTTGCCCACGCCTGAGTTAGAGTGTCCTGTCAAAGGTCTCAGAGTTGGTCCACGCCAAACCCCAACGCAGCAAACCTCAGGCCTCTGTTCTCACCCCCATCCCCGGCGGAAGCATTGGCTTTCCT